GGGGGGGGGGGGGGGGGGGGGGGGGGGGGGGGGGGGGGGGGGGGGGGGGGGGGTTGTACTCATAGCCGTGCATGCCGTAGTCGTTCGACCATTGACCTGGACGGGAGGGAGGATCAAACCACACCTGTTGTTGTGCGTGGCGAGCACGGCGGACATGGGAACCGAGCCAGGGACGAACTCGATCATCCCGGTTGTCAAGCTTGTCGCCAGCACCCGATAAGACTGCCGGCGGAGTGGGGGTCATGGCACGTGTAGAGGGGGGGGGGGGCGGGGAAGGTACACACGCGTAAATGAGTGCGGAATCATGAGGGGCTTGGCAGCCAGCCAGCCAACAAACAAAGGAACAAATCCATGCCACAAAGAGAAATAAGACAAAGCAGCGACGGGAAGACAAGCCCACGTACAAAAAGATGGAATGCGCAAGACTGAAGAGTGCTGAACACCTTGATCCTGACGAAAGAACGCTCTCACGCGACTAAGGAAGGACACGCAAACAGATGCTTCCTTGCAAAGTCTACATGCCTTGACATCCCCACCACGGACCCTTCTTTGCATACATACACACCTTAGGCTCCAGACAACAACACATGATCTTGCGCACGCATACCCTGAGCCCACGGCACCAAGAGTAGATGCTCCTTCGCATTCATACATGCACGACAAACCAACGGACGCTTGTTAGCGTAGACACAAAAATATACACATACCTTGAGCTTGAGGTCGAGGCCGGCCTCCTTGAGCTGCCTGTCCATGAGAGACACCATGTGCACCGCCAGCTGGTCCTGCCGCACGTCTTCCCCGTTCTAGCAACGCCAAGGACAAAAAAAAAAAAAACGAACGTGAGAACACGAAAAATCGTTCCAATCACCGCCAACAAAACGGACGAAAAAATAGGAAACAGGTGAACAAGATCGTTCTAGTATTGCATCAAAAAAACAAAACAGTGTGTGAACATGAACCATCGTTGTAGCACGCCAACACTATTGCCGACGAAGAAGAGAACACAAGCATGTTTACAAGTAATCCTCTTCAAAAAAAGGCCACAATAAAAAAAGACGACGAAACTACCTACATGGGCATGAATACCGGTCCCTCGTGCGGGGGGCGAGGGGAGTGATCGAGAAAGGTGATACTGGCAAGCGATACGGCGCGCTCTTGTGTTGCACACGCAGCGTAAGCTGGGCATCGCAATATCCTGCCTCTCGACAAAAAAAAAGAAAAAGAAAAATACGAGTGCGAGATGGAAGAAAAGCCGCTGGGTGACGAAACATACACAAACGCGCCAACACAGAAGTAAAAGCAGTGGGCCACAACTAGTAGTACCATACATCTTCACAGCACTCATCGGAGGGGGGCACGCGACAGGACTTGCCTTGAAGATGGCTAGGTAGCTCCCCCTGTCCTGACTTGCCGCCCCCAACACCTGCATCTGCTCCCATAACCGCAGCTTGGTGAGATCGCCGGAGGCCTGGTAGAGGACGAGGCAGAGGAGAGACAGACGCCAACAGCAACATCGGGAAAGAGGGTCGTGCGTGCGGATAGGAGACCAAGACGTCGTCCGCACACGGGAGACAACAATACTCCGGCCTGTCGCACACACAGCTCCGAGAGAACAACCAGAGGGAAACCAGGGAGACGAAACAGACGAGGAGACTGGAAACAAAAACGACGATGAAGACGGAAGGACGCCCTCCCTCCTTTCTTGAGGTTGGGTATTGTTGTCTACCGGTCGCACACCGCATGAATGGACGCCAAGTCGACGACCGATTGTATCTCTGTCTCTCTCTATCTCTCTGTCTGCCCCTTATACCTGTCGCGCGAGAGTTGACCGCTCGCTCTCTGCCCTCGACAATGGCGCGCCGCTGCCACCACCCTTCTTGCCCCTGTTCCTCTTGCCGCCTGTTCCAGGTAAGCCACAATTAGTCGACAAAGGGTCGACACACGCCACACGCCGTCACCCAACAGCAAACGAAGCGGGAAAATGTAGTCGCAGCAAGTCGACAAAAGGCTATCGCTCGCCACACACCACATCCCGCCACCCGACAACACAACGGAGCGAAAAGGGCCATCGGGGACCAAGGATAACGTCGTGCGAAAAATTACTTTCTGGCCATGTTTCGGCAGCGTCCCACAAGTGCTATATTTGTTCGGAGTCGTAGCTAACAACACTTGCGGCGGTTTAAAAGAGTGGATAGACACGTCTGGGCCAGCAAAAGATAACGGGCGACGTTGGGCTTCAGGAAGCCAACAAGGGGGCGCCGAGGGAACAGGCTCCAAACTTAGACTGCAGGTCTCAAAGAGGAAGGTCCGGGACAGGTTCCGGAAAGTTCCGGAAACGCACGGAAGGTTCTCAAACAATTCCTAGCAAGGGTTGGCAAAGGTTCCGCAGAAGGTCTCAAAAGAAAGGTCCACTACAGGACAGGTTCCGGAATGTTGTGCAAACGCACGAAAGGGTCTGAAACGAAACAGTTCCTGGTAGGGGTCGGCAAAAGTTCTCAACAGAAAGGTCCGCTACAAGACGTGTTTTGGAAAGTTCCGGAAGCACACGAAAGGACGTGAAAAACTCCTGAAAGGCTCCGGACGGTTTCCAATGCGTTCTGGTTCTGGATAAGGGGCCCCGTAAAAGTTCTGGCCGCGGGACAACAGCAAATATATAATGTGGACGAGATGGATTTGTTGTGTATAAAAAATAAGTAGGAAAAGAAAAGACAACCAACCTTGTGGGGAGGGATTGGTGGTCTTGAACCTGAGCTTGACAGCGTCACCGTCGACGTCCTCTGCATCCACGGCGGCCTCGCTGAGATCACGAAACTGACAGCACAGCACAGCATACAAGCATACCACACAACAGCAGTGACCGTCGTCGTTGATACGAAAAGAAAATACACGACGGATGGACAAGACGACACGCCAAAAAAGCGCAATGACGTGTGTGTCAAGAAGGGAGTAGGGGTCACCGCGGACAGCATCAAAACCAGGAACAAAGCCCCAGTCCTCCCCCCTTTCTTGTTAAATATTTCACCTATGATAGACGCCAGCCGGCGTCACACAGGAGAAAGAAGGCGCCACGAACACGTTATTTTTTCCTGGCAACCGCAGCAGGGTTTGGGTACGGGTGCCTCACGGATCCGAGGTAGCTCCTACGCGGCACAAATGCTGTGTGTGAGCGCTGGCTTAAAACTGATGAAAATGTTGGGTGACAACAAGAACTACCCCTCCAGGAACGTACGGGGAAACAAGGTTTTAAGACGGGGGGGAAAACGCTCTCACCCGCTTGACCGCAGGGGAGGTCTCGGAGTTGGTTTCCTCCAGCGAGTTGAACGAACCCGCGTCGGCGCTGATACGTCGTCTGTCCAGGAACGATTCGTCCTCGTCATCGTTGTCTCCCCCCCCCTCATCGTTATCTCGGTCGTCTTCAAGGGCGGCCGTCTGTGCGGTGTGTGCGGACGACTCTTCCGTAGGTGCCGGGCTCTCCTCCTCCTGCTGACATTTTTGTTGTTTGTTTTCGTGTTATTGGCAGGATGCTAAGCAAGACATCCACACGGACGGCAGCTGGGTGGCGCTTTCACGGCGACTAGTAACGCACGTCGATACCGCATTCATGCGTGTGTTGGTGCACGTGATGCCCCCACGCACATGCTTTCATAAATTTATGCCCTGCCCAAAACAAAAAATACGCAAGAAAAACACAAGATAGCTATCTCAAGTTTATTCCGCTTGTTTCTTTTCTCACGAAAAAATACATGAACGCTACGGTCTGACCCGCTTCAAGCTCGCAAGAATGCTACGCCCATGGATGGGGCCTTGGATTGAACCCCATGAAGCGGGTAGGATATAGGGTTTACATTCTATCATTTCATCGGCTTTTGCTTGTGGCACGAACTTCGTGTTTTCGGCATTGGGGACTTGGAGAGGGTGCAGAGGCACACGCCGCAACAAGCGCGAATCATCGCAACCTAGACCGCCTTACTGCTCCCCCACGAGACAACTAACAGCAACTTCGACCATGACAACGATCAACAGCCACAGCAGCGCAGCAGCAACAGCAACAACAACAACAACAACAACAACAACAACAACAACAACAACAACAACAACAACA